AAATAGCCATGGTCTCTCACAGTGCCAGGGCACCCCCCACACAGCACATGGAAGCAACATACGTGCACACTCAGCACTGTGAAAGCCCCAGACATGAGAGCCTGAGTGATTTCAATGTGGGAGCCATTACATTTCTAAAATAGAGAAAAACATGCACCAACCTCCACAGCCCTTGAAGTAATGCCATTTATATATTTTCAACAAATTTCCGTTAATTCATAAAGTGGCAATCATAGCCATAGTCTGTCCTAGGCATGGATGGGTCATCATCTTGACATACAGCAGTTACCTCTAAAAAGACTTGTCACACGGCTGCAGGCATGTCCTCTCACTTCACAGTAGGTCTTCAGAAAGAACACACAGAAGACATTTCAGGCAGGGGCTGGGGGCTGAGGAACTGCTGACTGGCCTATGGTGTGGACGGCTTCCCATCTACAGTTCCAGAAAGGGACTGGGGGCTACATGCCCTGGGAGCAGCACGAGGGTAGAGGCTGAGGTGGACGCAAGCTTTGGCTCCCTCAATGGAGGGTCTGCATTGGATTAGGCCAGGGCCACAGGCAAACTGGCCACACTTCACCATACTGGCCTGTGAAGCCTCCCTGAGCATCCCTCCTGCTATGAGGGCATCTGCCTTCTTTAAAGACAGTTCCAGCCATCCACCCAATTAACAATGTGCGCTCTCCCCAGACTCCCCTTCTCTGCTCTGTGGTATGAGATCTTTGCAAACAGAGCATGCTGGTGTCACAGCTGCATCACATTCCTCACCTATAGGACATGATCAAATCTTTTCTTTCTGTCCCTCTAATACAGTGGTTACTGTCGCGACCCACAGTAACTGTATTAAAGGGCTGCACATTAGGAAGGTTGAGAACCACTGTTCTAATACTTGCCCAACAGAAAGCATTGTCCCCTGCTCTGCAGAAGGGACCCTTTCTGCTCTCTCTGGTAAGAGGCAACCCCACCCAAGATTTCTTTTTTTTTTTTTTTTTTTTTTTGAGACAGAGCCTCAAGCTGTCCCCCTGGGTAGAGTGCCGTGGCATTACAGCTCACAGCAACCTCCAACTCCTGGGCTCAAGCGAGTCTCCTGCCTCCGCCTCCCAAGTAGCTGGGACCACAGGCGCCCGCCACAACGCCCGGCTATTTTTTGGTTGCAGCCGTCATTGTTGTTTGGCGGGTCCGGGCTGGGGATTCGAACCCGCCACCTTAGGTGTACGTGGCTAGCGCCTTAGCCGGTTGAGCCATAGGCGCCGAGCCCCCACCCAAGATTTCAATCAACACTTTCACAAGCTATTTAGTTGTCTTTATTGAGGCATAATTTACATACAATTAACCACATCCATTTAAAGTGAGTTCTGACAAACTACACTACACACCATGAAGCTGCCCCCACAACCAAGACGGGGGTCTCCATCACACCCATCCCTCTGTGGTCCCTCCTCTCTCAGCCCCTGTTCCCAGGCAACCACTGAGCTTATCTTTTTTTTGAGACAGGAGCCTCCAGCTGTCCCCCTAGGTAGAGTGCTATGACATCACAGCTCACAGCAACCTCCAACTCCTGGGCTCAAGTGAGTCTCCTGCCTCAGCCTCCCCTGTAGCTGAGACCACAGGCACCTGCCACAACGCCTGGCTATTTTTTTGGTTGCAGCCATCATGTTGTTTGGCAGGCCGGGGCTGGATTCAAACCCGCCACCTTGGGTGTACATGGCTGGTGCCTTAGCTACTTGAGCCACAGGCGCCGAGCCTACTGAGCTTATCTTATCACTGTAAACCAGCTTTTACTTTCTATAATTTTACATAAATGGGTCATACAACTTGCACGCCTTTCATTTGGCATGATGACCTTTAGCTGCATCTGTGTGATCTGTGCTGTGCTGCATAGCTCAGTGACATCCCACCAAGTGGCTAAACATCATGTCCTTCACCCATTCAACTGCTGGTGGGAAACTGGGATGTTTCTAGTTTGCGGTTATTGTGAATTCTCAAGTCCTACAAACATCCTTTAACATATCTTCATGTGGACATTTGTTTTCATTTCTCTTGGGTAATACCCAGAAATGGAATGGTTGGATCACAAGTCTATGTGCAACTTTCTAAGATGCTGCCAAACTGCCTTCCACAGTGGCAGTGCCATTTCACCTTCCTACCAGCAGTGAGAGTGCTCATAAACACCTGGTGGTGTACTATCTCACTCTTGCAACAATTTGCATTTTCCTGAAGCTTAATAATGGTCAGCATCTTTTCATGTGTTTATTAGCCATTTATAGACCTTTTGTGAAGAGTCTGTTCACATCTTTTGCTGATTTTAATTGGATCCCATTATTGAGTTGTCATAGTTCTTCAAATATTCTTCATCCAATGTATGTATAGCAAATATTTCCTCCCATTCTGTGTCTTGCCTTCTCATTTCCTTATAGGCATCTTTAGAAGAGCAAATGTTTTCCATTTTGATAAAACTGAATGTGCCCATTTGTCCTTTTATTGGTCTTGCTTTTTTGAACCTAAGAAATCTCTGCCTTGACTACAAGGTCACTAAGATTTTCTGTTTTCTTCAGTAAGTGTTATGGTTTTAGCGCCCACCACAATGCCTGGCTATTTTTTTTTTTTTTTTTTTTTTGAGACAGAGCCTCAAGCTGCCACCCTGGGTAGGGTGCTGTAGCATCACAGCTCACAGCAACCTCCATCTCAGGGGCTTAAGCGATTCTCTTGCCTCAGCCTTCCAAAGAGCTGGGACTACAGGCATCCGCCACAATGTCTGGCTATTTTTTTGTTGCAGCCGTCATTGTTCGGCGGGCCTGGCCTGGATTCGAACCGGCCAGCTCAGGTATATGCAACTGGCACCTTAGCCACTTGAGCCACAGGCACCAAGCCTCGCCTGGCTATTTTTTGTTGCAATTGTCATTGTTGTTTGGTAGGCCCCAGCTGGGTTCGAACCCACCAGCCTTGGTATATGTGGCCAGCACCCTAACCACTGAACTATGGGCACTAAGCCTAGTTGTAGGCTTTTACATACATACATACATACGCAAAGGCCAAGGTTAGGGCACCCCCACTGATTGATCAGAGGCTGTGCAGAAATTTGACATCAGGTCATACAAGCTATGCTTTAATTGCTTGGTAAATCTAAGTCACATACATTTCTGTATTTTAGAATCATTCTACAAAAATGCCTGCTAGAATACTGACTGGAAAAATGGACATTCTAACAATATTGCATCTTTGAGCCCATGAACAAGCCATCTCATTCTTTTCAAGACTTCTTAGATGTCTTTCAGTATGCCCTATGATTTTCAGTAAAGAAGTTTTGCACATCTTTTGTTAATCTTACTACCAAGTATTTAGCTTTTGCTATTATAAATAGAACATCATTTCTGATTTCATTTTCCAATAGTTTGCTGCTAGTATATAAAAATGCAATTAAGTTTTGCACATTAACCTTGATTTCTATGATCTTGCTAAATTCACTTAATAGTTCTAGCAGTTTTCCGTAAATTTCTTAAGATCTTCTAATCTGGCTCGGCACCTGTGGCTCAAGCGGCTAGGGCGCCAGCCACATGCACCTAAGGTGG